AGGCAATCGATTTTGACGGAATTAGCCCAGTGATGGATGGAGTGCAACTTTACTAAGTTCAGTGAGTGATGATTTTATGTCCCTCGATCAAAGCCTCCCCACTACGACGATAACAGAACACGGCTTTAAAGTCTCCACCCTCAGCCGTACCATCACAAGGCAATCAAGATTATATTATCATAGCGCACACAACACCACTACCCATGTCGGTTTCTGATGAAGCTCGTGGTTGTAGTAGTCGATTGAATTTGCCGGGGTTTCCTTTTGCATCCTTCCTACTATTGAGAGAGAAATTTAGGATTAGTACGAGAAACTTTCCGTAAGGAGATATTTTGTATCCATTAGTTAAAATATGATTGAAGGGTAAAATGGGAAAAACAAAAATGCCTCATAAATTAACAGTACTAAGCGGATTCACCCTTTTAAGAGAGTAGAGATATTAAAATTTTATTACTTAAATAATATAAACACTTTTCCTTTAAGATCTCTATTGTTGGAAAAATCCTATCCGACTTCATACTTTAAAATTATTTACAATGTAGTTTTGCTTAAAGCGTGATTTGTCTATATTAATACTCGTTTCCCCGTGCAAAAAATAAAAAATAAATAAATTTGTAGAACCACTTTCCAGAATACAATGAAATTTAAAAATTATTCTCTTTAATTGAATTCTTTTATACTTATGAAATCAATGGGGCGAATATAAAATAAAGTTTCTTTGTTTGCAATTTGTTTTTTCCTGAAAAGTCAATAAAAAGAGAAGAAGAAAACCAAAAACTGGTTAAGAAAATATGAGAAACTTGTAGAAATATATAGATGAATTAGTGTTGTTTCATAATAGATGAATCTTTTTATAGTTCAAGTATAGCGTTCGTGAAATTCCGCAAGTGTACGGATCGTGACAAGTAATATAGTGGATTTATCAACTCCGAATATCGTCCCACAGATACTAGTATTTACTATAAAATTTTAAACTAATCTAGCTTCAATTTAAATTAAAATGGTAACTAATGATCAAATCAAATTTTGTTTTCTATGTGAAATTCTAATAATTAAAATAACAAACTCAAATTAAAACTTGGAGAAAAGATTATGTGATTGGGTAGTTAGGATTTTCGATTCACTTAGGTTATTTATCATACATTTAATTCCAATTTATTCGAGTATTTTTATACGTGTCAACGATCGAATTAACCTATTGTATTTAGTGATCTCTCTCAAACAACACTAATTCTATTCATACGCCGAACTTACTATATCTCTATATAAATTCACACACATGTGAATGCATTTATCTTTAGGAATTCAACAAAGATCGCATATGCTATAATTATCTCTCGATCTCTTATAATGTCTATGTCAATTATTACACGAGCTAGAATTATACATCACCTATCGGTCTCAGTATTATTCCTAAATCAATTAATTGTTGAGCAGAGAATTAAAGCATTACACACAATAATTAATTAACAAATATCAAATTGACATGAAAATCTTGAAATTAAATATATAATAAAAACTTAAATTACATTACCAATCCCAACATAAAAATATTTAGTCATTCATACTATTGAATTTAAACACGCAAAAGTGGAAAGATATCACCAAAAATTAACTAAACGTGATTAATTTTAGGTGAAGCTACCTCCTCCTGCTTTGTGTTTTTTTCTCCAAACTGCCGCCTTTTTTTGTACGTGAATATGTATATATTTTTTCAGCAACATTTTCTTCTCCACCAGCCACTATTGTTGACTTTTCTTCCA